TTCGCGCACCTAAGCCACGATAACGATTTTGTTTCTATCATTGAGCTTACCTTTAGAAGCAAAGCTCATCGTATCCCCATCGGTGAATTCAGTGGCCGAGTGATATCGGTCGTTTCCCGGAGATGTTGGCCTGCAGTTTATCATTTGGCTTGCTATTCTGGGTATCATGCGATGACTACGACGTGTACAATGATCCAATATACAGGAAAATAATAGGTACAGTCGCGTCCACGTCTGCGTAGATAGCGCGAGCAGCCGCCCTCACTCTGCGGGGCGACACCTTGCGGCAGTTGCGGGCTCTGGCATGATGTGCCAGGAGCAGGTGCGTTATCAGACTAAACAGGTCATCTTTTGGAATCGAGATGCCGAAAGTGCCTCTTGGGAGCATGCGTCTTGGATTAAACAAGCGCACCTTTCAACGTTGTCACTCGTGCAAAGCAGGCCAGCATGTCTATTCGGCCGCGCATGCTCCTGGGCACCATAAGTCAGAGCCCGCAACTGCCACAAGGGGTCGCCGTGCAGAGCGAGGGTGGCTGCTCACAAGCTATATGCAGACGTGGACGATGCTGTAAATTCACATAGCCAAGTAAGCACAAAAAAAGTAAGAAACTTTGATAGGAGGCAACATCTTTATTCATGTTCGATACAACCATGAACACGACAGCCCAAATGAACACTTTATCGCTCTCTCTTATGATACACGATACTCGTCACTGCATCTTTATAGCGCAGTAATTATTATAAACCTTTATGTACAAAACATTAAGGATAAATGAAAGGTTTGGTTACTGCAAACATTAGATGGAATAAACAAAAAGAAGGAGAAGGAGTACGTTTACGACATTGAAGAAGCTTTCAGTGACATGAAAAAAAAGGATCAAAATTTAAGCACTATGTTAATAGATATGAGCAACGTTATTCTTACGACACAAGTGATATAGCATATCTATAACTTTGGTACAGTAGTCATCATGTACACTTCTGCACATAATTAACACTGATATTCCCCGCTGTACCTGCCGAATCGTCACAATGAAATGTGAAGAAATATTGTGTTTGATACAAGAAGGGGTCTACCGCACAATTTATTGGCACGCGTTTAACACAGTTCACGGGAAACATGTCTTGAAGCAAATGTACAGCACGACCCTTTCTTGTTCTAAAAGACAGGCATAAGTAGCGAGTGAATGAACGTGATTAGAAGATTTCATCTACTCCGTCAGGAAAATTCGATCTTCGCCACGTGATAAGCAGAAACGAAGGAGAGAAAGGATAAGCTCCGCTCTGCAGTGCTTCATTATCTGACGTTTGTTTTCGCAGCATATGTCGCATCTGCTTAGAAATCGCCATCGTGCTTCGTTACAAAGAGTGCGGGGACGCAATCCCCCAAAAGGTCAATCTACTCAGAAACAAAAAAAGAAAACAAGCGCAACAGTGCTCACATCGAAACGTCAATGAACTCTCGATCGTTTCGATGTGTTGCTGGCGGGCAGCTGCACAATGACACGACGACTGCGTTTGCTCGATTCGACTCGATACAGCTCTTATACCATATTCCGAGCACGCAGTCGATGCGATTCATGAAATTCATGGCATTACCGTAACGACGCCGTTGCGTGTTCCCTATCAATGACTCACATAAAAAACAGCGCCCTCGTTATTGGCGCCGTTTTTATGTGAATCATTGATAGCGAACACGCAACATGATTCACATAAAAAACAGTGCCCTCGTAATCGGCGCTGTTTTTTTTTTACGTGAATAATGTCGTACCGACTCGCCCAAGCAACCACGTCAGCCGCTATCAATGACAACGAAAGATTTTAAATAATAATAAAAAGCAAATTGATGCACGCAGAATAAAGTCGACGGGCTTACGCATTCCTTCAAAGTTCGTTATTTATACACAGCGACTATATGTATCTACATAATCTATACGAAAAGATTTGCCCCTCTTCTCTCCATTCTCCTCCTCCCCCCCCCCCCCCCCCAAAAAAAAAAGACTTAGGTCAATCGGTCAACGAATCAATCGGTTGCTCATGGAAACTTACGAGGTTGGTATTTCAAAAACACAACAGCAACACACGCCCTAGAGAGCGGGGAGGCGGCGAGACTCGATCTCTGTCGACGTATCGAGCACGTCACTTAGTTCTGAAGAAGCATTCTAAGAATTTTTGATGAAGGATGCCGAAGAAGTTTATTTCGTACATCGTATGTCAGTACGAGCCACCGTTCGAGTCATGCGCGCTCGTTGATATTGCGAAAGCGGCCTCCCGTTCGTAAGTAATCTTGTTAGGAATCCTAAATAAACACGAGTAAACCACCGCAGTCGTCTTGAGGTTGTGGAGTTCGACTAATGACTATAGGTACCGGGATCAAATCCGATTCGATGAATACGAAAATGGTTAAAGCCTTGTGTGCTTAGATTTTCGTGCACGTTAAAAAAAAAAACACCAAATAGCCAAAGTTACGACGCCTTACATTACAAGGTCCCTCATAATCCCATCGTGGTTTTGGGGACGCAGAAAACTCCAGAGATATTATTATTATTATTATTATTATTATTATTATTATTATTATTATTATTTAAACACAATTGTGCACGCGTGATGTTAAATGAGGATATGATACAGATATCATAAACACTCGGGATAAAAAATTTTGTTCGCCTTCTCTCAACTGGGTTGAATACGATGGTGTATGGAAGTTCATGAGGAATGATTCTGGTTTGTTTGTGCGGAGATCAAGGCGTACATGTCAAGGTTTTGTCACCGCAAGCTTTTAGTCATTCATACTCAGACACACGAAGTAAAATGAGCCCGCTGTTGTATTCCGTTATGTCACACATGTACCGCGCTAAATTTTTCGAATGCGCCTGGTATAAGTGTGGTTTTGTCACGAGACATGTGCTCTCTCTTCGCTGCCGTCGTCGATAGTTTGCATGAAACCATAAGCGCATACAATTTTACAATTTTGAGAGGCCCGGTTCGGACGATTGATGCATGGCTGCTGATCGCTTACGCGAGTAGTGAAATAGCCCCACTCATGCACGTACTTCATGTTTTTTCAATGCGGAACTACCGACCACCCGGTCTCATGACGTCATTCTGGATACATGCGCTCATTGGTGCCAACTCGTTTGAGCCTCTTTGATGAGGAAATGTGAATGGTCGAAAAGCAATGTGCTATCCGAAAGTTACGTCGTGGTGCGTTTTGACCGCGAGCATTTTCAATGCTGTTGTTTTTCTTCTACCGTACTGGCCGTTGATCCCGATTAAGAGACGCGCGGCGCCGGCACGTGGCGGCACCTCGTGGGTGACCGTCGTATTTAACACGTCGGGACAGGTGGCATCGAGCGACTATATCGATGTAGATATACATGATCGGCAATAGGAAGCTTTTCTTTTTGAGTCCTCTCTGACAAGAAACTGTAAATATCCCGCAGGACGCCGTGAAAGGGTACTTACCTCACATTTTCGCAGAAGCTTTGGCTGTATACGGGGCCGTGTTTTTGAACTAAGTTCATGAAACGTTGCAAGATACCTTTTAAGACATCAATCCACCTTTCCTTTTTTTTTTTTCGTGCAGCCCTCTGTCATCTGTATAAAGGGACGGAGCTTTACAGGTTGATCCTGGACGACCGAGATTGCCAGAACGAAACCCTCTGAGTTTGAAAGGTGTGCGGAGACCCTATACCACAGCGTTTTGTGACTTTACTGCTATGGAAACAGCGCATGCGTGGTAAAAGCATAAAAAAAGGTGGACCATTCGTTCCCGGTTGCGTTTCTATTCTGGACAGTCTCCACTGAGAGCAGAGAAAACAACACCAAGCCCAAGTCGTCCGAGTAATTGAACGCCTTTGGATGACGTCTGTGTGACATGACGCCACCTCGCTTCGACGAGAGGAAGCTTACAAAAAGAAAGTAACTGTTATTTGTCTAACCTCACTCGTGTTAAAATCTATGAGAAATTGAACGTAGCTTACACAGAGCACGTAGAGAAGCATCTGTTTTTGTGCAGACGACCATATTGGTGAAATCCGCGCTATCGAGGATTCCGCTCTGCCACCATCTTGTTCGGACAGCAAAGTAAGCTTCATTGCATTTGCCTGCGATGGTCTCTTCGCGGAGATGTTAATTAAGTCAGCTACGGGACAACTGAATTGGGACTTAAGATGGTCGCTGTCACCATTTACTGTGAGTATTGGAACACGGCCCTTGATTTACAAAGGAAAGAAAGTACGCCGACAAATAAAAGTTTAAAAGAAACTACCTCCTGGCTTCCATACGGAAGCCTTATTCACAATGTGGTCAAATAACTATAGAAGTGTCTCCTATGTGGATTTCAGCACGTGACCCAAGCACCGCGCATAGGACGAGGAAACGTTTCCGTCACTGCCACTCAGTGTTTGCCATGTATAGTCTCGAGCGACTAGAGATACAAGCGTGATTTCCAGTGTCTTTTTTCCCCAACAATACTCGCATTTATTGAGTAAGTGCTGTGAAAAACCATAACTGCATGCTCGGCCATACCATTAGACGCCACTTTCTTTCTTTTTCGCAACGTTCTGGCGCTAGCGCATTCGCTGTCCAACGTTGCAGGTCTTGCCAATGTAAATACTTTCCCTATACGCACACGGGGTTTTCACACAACACGGGGAATCTTATTTCGGTATCTGGTCTTTCCCACTTACAAGTACCTGCTATAACATGCGTGCAGGCCCGTTGGGAGTTTCAACGTCATTCCTACGTAATACGCGCGATAAAGTGTTACGTATCTCGGGCATGTAAGGAATATGAGTGCGTTTTATCCTGTCTGACACACTCATGCTTGGAGGGCGCAGACAAACGATGTTCCACCGAGTTAATCTACGCTGGTGGGTAACAGCACGTCAAAAATCCCTCTCGACGTGTCCTTACATCAGCGGTGAAGTCATCTGCATTCGTGTAAATGCGATTCGCAGAACCTAACGTTTCTTTCAAACTTTTGTTAGGTCGGTGTACTTCCTTTCCTTTGTCATGTTTCAATCCCGACTAGAAGGACCTCCGTCGAACTCTCGATTTCACATTACTCGATTCAACAGCGTTCCGCACTGATGGACTTGAGCGCCATCGCTGTGATGGCTGCGGCGAGCAGTAGTGGCCATCGGCGCTTCGCCTTAGTTTGGCGGTCTGCCGAAGAGGCGGCGCTGTCGTCGCAGCTTCCCCCGTGCGCGTAGTGTCCGCAGTGGTCCTCGATGAGCGGCCCCGAGATGCGCTGCATGTGGCGAGAGAAGAAGGCGCTCGCCCGGTCACCGCAGTCGCGCTCCACGTGGAAGTTCTTGCACTCCACGAACTCGCTGAAAGCGCTGCGCCACACCCACGTCGAAGCATTCCGTGGCAGCCGGTGGTCCGTACAGAGAGGATAAAAAAACGAAGTATATTAGAAAAGATACTAACACTTTGTGGAGAAATTTTCTGACGGAGACTGTCAATTGTACGAATTCTCAGACAACATTAAGGGACAGCAGGAAACCAAATCCAACGATTTCAGACAGTAACAAACACAAGCCAACATTAGCTAAATGTCAGCCAACACCAGCCAACCTTGAATGGCAGTCAGCGAATTGATTGCAAACATTACCCAGCGTCAGACAGTGTCAGTGATATACTTGCACGGCAATCTTATCATTCGTTTAATGTCCATGACGGTTTCGTAACAGAAAGATTTTTATACGATAGTGCCAACTTCAAGCTTATACTTCATCCTGAATATTATAGTCTTATAGAATAGCTTTGTTGCTTTATTTCCCTTCACTAGCAGTTTTCTTTTGTTTTTTAGCTCCAGAAATAATATTTTAGGCAAAACCAACAACTACTATTAGAACTATGCTGCGACAGTATACTACTACTACTACTACTACTACTACTACTACTCTACTACTACTACTACTACTACTACTACTACTACTACTACTACTTCTACTACCAACGACAACTACAATAACCACTACTACTGCTATGGCTAAAGTACTACTACCACACAACTACTACTACAACTACTACTACTACTACTACTACTACTACTATTACTACTACTACTACTACTACTGACAACCATAATGAATACTAATATCACTACTGTAATCCTACTACTAACGACAACTACAATCACCACTACTACTGCTATGGCTAAAGTACTACTACCACACAACAACAACTACTACTACTACTACTACTAAACATTGCCCCTACATGCTAAAACGAATGCTACTACTACTATTAGAACTACCGCTACTATTGTGTGAACTCGACCCCTCGTTTTCTTACCTAAATGCTAAAAAAAAAGTCCGGCAGCATGTAACCACAATGTGCCCCTCACATAAGGACATTTTCTTTATTCGCCCATTCCTGTTTCCTTCTCTTCGTCCGCCCCTTGTTTCTAATGATAGCATATGGAGTGATATAGGGCGACGTCTCTTACGTAATCGAAGATGTAATTAGGAGGCTAGATTATAACTACTGACTATGCCATGTCTGCGAGAGCTATTGCGTAGCTCATACCGACCAGCAGGATCTCTTGAGGCCATGGTCCACGTCCTGCGCCTGGCTCACGGTCTTCGCAAGCTCCAGGGTGCGGCGGTAGGCAGGCGCACACTTCTCTTCGTCCAGCGTCACGTTGCGGTTGCAGCGGGCGTGCCGGAGGAAGTCTGCGCAAAAAGCAAACCACCCCCACTTTTGAAGGACCCGTCACGACTATCGTCATCACTGCTATACCATTCATGTCACTCTGCCGAGACGGAGAAGAAAGGACAGAGAATGGATTGCCTGCCCTTCATATCTTAATGAAGTTACTCGTGGCTTGAGCACCGAGTGACTATCTTGTTTCTCTTCCAAGCAGTTCCATGGTCGAGCGCAACCTTATGACTACACAGTTATACTGGCGAGGGTTCATTGGAACGATGAATGCCACGCGTAAAAAAAAAGGACTACGAACAGATCAAAGTTTATGTAAGAACACTTTTTCTTCCCGATTATTTTTCAGACGAAACAGGAAAGGCTGTTGCACTTGCCTGGCCCTGTCGCTAAGCAAAGAAAGTCGTTGTCGCCAAATTGATGAGACAAACGTCACACATGCATAACACAGTGCAATCAGTCAGTACATGCCCTGGGTTTTTTTTTTTCTATGAATGAGAACACGCGAGTGCGTGGGCTAATACTGCCTCCCTTAGCGTCATCTGGCGGCAAGCGAAACAACCTGTCGTGGGGGATGTGTAACAATGGTCTGTAAGATTGCAACTACCTCTATCTTCTAGGTGAATATGCAAGAGGTCCGGCCAGTGGTGTGCCATCTGCTGTTTGTTAGCTATGCTTGGCTTTTCAAAGTGGACTCACCAGCCTCCAGATCTCAACGTAACCGAAAACGTGTGGGGACACCTGAACAGCGCGCTGGTGGGTCGGTTCTCTACACGTGCTCTCGGCAGACGACCGTGTGTGTGTAGAATTAATGCTGAACGATTTTGAGTACGATGTACCCTACTACGAGAGAGCACTTGGCTGTCCCAGTGAAAACAGCTTGATAAGGGACACAGAATATGTAGTGCCGATCGTTGAGCTGTCGTCGAGGAGGAGCGACAGCAACTCAGAAGGGACACGTCCCCTAACGGCTGCTCTGTATGAATTTCTACCAACTAGAGTGGTAGCTGTCATGGCCGCAAATGGTGACAGCAGTAAGTATCGACAAGTGTCGCAATGTGGTACATATTTTTCTGTTGATTTAAAAAGCAAAAGTGACAATCGAGGCTTTTATTCAATCGCAATGAACGTTGCAATGAAGATATCATTCAGTTGCAATGGAAATATCATTTTCACGTTTCACGCTTACGTCATTTACGCTACTGATAAATACAATTGAAAATTAAATAAACATATTATAGATACAAATGAAATAAAATACAAATGATAAATACAAATGAAATGAACGTACGGGACTTTTGCTCCTACTTGCTACGTGGCACCATCTTGCACTACCATCAAGACCCCAGCGGCAGTCACTGTGCATCCCTTTGAAGCATCGAGAACGGACCTACCATAGTAATTTGTGTATTGGTAGGCAACACGCTCTCGGCTAAGTGGCATTGTGCACCGGAGAGGGTTTTTTTCACAGCATTCGACGATGTATATTGTCACGAGGTCGTGACGTGGCCAAAGACAGGAAACTTCGTGTTGGGATTTAAATGTTTATTTGGGCGAACCTGTGCCCGGTAAAGGGAAAGTCTAATTACAGCAGCAGTCTTGCACAGATAGCAGTCTCGGACTGATAGCGGCGAACGCAGCGTCGGCCTTCGATCAACAACTGACAAGCGGCGAAGCGCGTTGGCATTTATACCCTTGCCGTCGAATGTTCTAGCGTTATCGCTGGCGGTGGCGTAGGTTCCAGAACAATCTGTACCGTTCGCACAGTGGGCGTGATCTTATCGAAATGATCTACTACAGTCCGGAACCTTCTCGAAACCTGCAGGCGTGGTTTGCGCCGAGAATCGTGTGGTGTTTCGGAACGATAACAAAAACTTGTGAAATGGAACGTGGCATTGCCCCCTTCTGAAAAAAGGCATCGTCCCGATGCTCTAACTAAAGATGAATGTACAATAATAATGCAAGAAAGTACAATGAATAAATTACAATACAACAATAATACAAAAAACACTGTTTCAGTTTGTTAACGTGCATGAAACGGCTTGAGGCGCGCGACATGGACGACTTCAGGTCGCGATCGGCGTCGTTGAGAGTTCGTGATGCCGTCGGGGACAACCTCGTAATCAAGTGGGCCGAGACGTCGAACCACCTTGTACGGTCTGAAGTACCGTCGCAGAAGCTTTTCACTTAGTCCACGTCGGCGTATCGGCGTCCACACCCAAACACGTTCACCGGGCTGGTATTCCACGAAGCGTCGTCGAAGGTTGTAACGGTGGCTGTCGGTCGTCTGTTGATTCTTGATACGGAGACGCGCAAGTTGTCGGGCTTCTTCGGCGCGTTGAAGGTACTCGCTCACATCGAGGTTTTCTTCGTCGGTGACGTTGGGTAACATGGCATCGAGCGTCGTTGCCGGGCTCCTTCCGTAGACCAATTTGTATGGAGATATCTGCGTCGTCTCCTGCACCGCCGTGTTGTATGCGAAGGTCACATACGGAAGAATGGCGTCCCACGTCTTGTGTTCGACATCAACGTACATTGACAGCATGTCGGCGATCGTCTTGTTAAGCCGCTCGGTGAGGCCGTTGGTCTGTGGGTGGTACGCTGTCGTCCGGCGGTGGTTTGTTTGGCTGTATGCCAAGATCGCTTGAGTTAAGTCGGCAGTGAATGCCGTTCCTCTGTCGGTGATAAGAACCTCCGGGGCGCCGTGGCGTAGGACGATATTTTCGACGAAGAACTTAGCTACCTCGGATGCACTGCCTTTTGGCAGGGCTTTTGTCTCGGCGTAGCGGGTGTGGTAGTCGGTAGCTACCACGATCCACTTGTTTCCGAAAGCCGACGTCGGGAACGGCCCCAGTAGGTCCATACCAATCTGCTGGAAAGGTCGGCAAGGTGGATCAATTGGCTGCAGAAGTCCCGCTGGCCTTGTCGGCGGTGTCTTGCGTCGCTGACAGTCCCGGCATGTCCTCACATAACGAGTGACGTCGGTGGTAAGACGTGGCCAGTAGTACCTTTCTTGTATCCTCGCGAGCGTGCGAGAAACACCGAGGTGCCCTGCCGTCGGATCGTCGTGCAGAGTCTGCAGGAGTTCTGGTCGCAGAGCTGAAGGCACCACAAGGAGGTACTTAGCTCGAGGCGGTGAAAAGTTTTTCTTTTGTAGAAGACCGTTTCGTAGAAAGAACGACGCAAGTGCGTGCTTGAATACCTTCGGTACTTCGGCGGTCCTGCCTTCGAGGTATTCCATTAGGGCTTTAAGTTCCGGGTCGGCCCGCTGTCGTTCAGCGAAGTCGTCGGTAGTTATCGTTCCCAAGAAGTAGTCGTCATCCGAGTCGTCGGGTAGCGGTTGGTCGACAGGCGCACGAGAGAGACAGTCAGCGTCGGAGTGTTTTTTGCCGGACTTGTAATGACAGTAATGTCATATTCTTGAAGTCTCAGGCTCCATCGTGCGAGGCGACCTGAAGGGTCCTTCAAGGTGGCTAGCCAACACAAGGCGTAGCGGTCGCTCACAACTTTGAAGGGCCTGCTATAGAGGTAGGGGCGAAATTTCGACGTAGCCCATGCAGATGATGGCGAGGCACTCCTTTTCTGTTGTAGAATAATTTGCTTCTGCTTTGGATAGCGATCGGCTGGCGTAACTAATAACCCTTTCAAGTCCGTCAGCCCTCTGCACAAGAACGGCGCCAAGACCTACGCTGCTTGCGTCAGTATGTATTTCTGTCTCGGAGAATTCGTCGAAATGGGCAAGTAACGGAGGCGTCTGGAGGCGATGTTTAAGCTCGTGGACAGCGTGTTCCTGTGGCGTTTCCCACTTGAACTCCGAGTCGGCCTTGGTAAGGTTAGTGAGAGGATCGGCGATGCGGGCGAAGTTTTTCACGAACCGCCTATAATAGGCGCACAGGTTCAGAAATCGGCGCACGGCCTTCTTGTCAGTGGGCGGCGGGAAGTCGGCGATGGCGGCTGTTTTCCGTAGATCGGGACGAACTCCAGACTTGCTGATAACGTGCCCCAGAAACAAGAGCTCCTCATACGCAAATCTGCACTTTTCTGGCTTCAGTGTGAGTCCGGACGTCTTGATGGCTTGAAGTACAGCTTCAAGGCACCGAAGATGCTCGTCGAAACTCGAGGAAAACACGACGACGTCGTCCAAGTACACAAGGCAAGTCTGCCACTTCAATCCTGCCAGTACTGTATCCATAACGCGTTGAAAAGTTGCAGGCGCTGAGCAAAGGCCGAAGGGCATCACCTTAAACTCGAAGAGGCCGTCCGGTGTTATAAACGCCGTCTTCTCTCGGTCTCTTTCGTCGACTTCGATTTGCCAATAGCCAGTCTTGAGGTCCATTGACGAGAAGTACTTGGCGTTATGGAGCCGATCAAGTGCGTCGTCTATTCGTGGGAGAGGATACGCGTCCTTTCTTGTGATTTTGTTCAGGCGGCGATAGTCGACGCAGAAACGTAGCGTCCCATCCTTTTTCTTCACTAACACCACGGGGGATGCCCACGGACTCTTGGACGGCTGGATAATGTCATCTCGCAGCATTTCATCAACTTGTCTCTTCATTGCCTCACGTTCTCGCGTCGAAACCATGTACGGACTCTGACGGAGTGGTCTGGCATTTTCTTCGGTTATGATTCGATGTTTCGCGATTGGGGTCTGCCGAATTTTCGATGACAACGAAAAGCAATATTCGTATTGCAGGAGCAGGGCCTTGAGCTGTTCTTGCTTATCGTTCGGAAGTCTGGGATTGACGTCGAAAGCTATGGGAGGGGCTTGGTTCCTCTGAGCAGGTTCCGCAGAATCGGCGAGGGCGAAAGCACTGGTGGCTTCGACAATTTCTTCGATGTATGCAACCGTTGTTCCTTTGTTCACATGTTTGTACTCATTGCTGAAATTCGTGAGCATAACTGTTGCTTTGCCTCCCCGCAGCTCTGCAATTCCTCTTGCGACGCAAATATTTCGGGTGACCAACAGATGCTGACTGCCTTCAATGACGCCTTCCAAGTCAGGTGATTTAGGAGCGCCGACTGAAATAATGACGCTTGAGCGAGGCGGAATGGTGGCTTGTTCTTCCAGCACATTCAAGGCATGGTGTCCTGATGGCGTGCGCAGTGGTAGTGCTTCTTCTGTGGATAACGTTATCGACCTTGTTTTTAGGTTGATGACAGCACAATGGAGGCATAAGAAGTCCATGCCAAGGATGACATCTCTCGAGCAACGCTGTAGGACTACGAAGTCTGTAGGATAAATACGGCCGTTAATGGTGACTCTCGCTGTGCAGATTCCTGCAGGCGTTACGAGATGACCTCCGGCTCTGCGGATTTCAGGGCCTTTCCAAGCTGTCATAACTTTCTTTAACTTCGCGGCGAACGACCCACTGATGACAGAATAGTCGGCTCCAGTATCGACGAGAGCAGTCACACTGTGGCCGTCGATAAGAACGTCGACGTCGCTAGTTCGCCGTCTTGCATTACAGTTAGGGCGTGGCGTCGGGTCATCGCTGCGTCGGCTTGTTCCGCTGCTTCCATGTTGCGTCGTCCAGCCACCTTCGGTAAGTGAGCTTTTGCCTTCAGGGCTTTGCCTGGTTGGTGTTGTGTTCAAAAAGCTGCGTTGCGTCGGCGTCGTCGTCGGAGGATCTTCGGTAGTTCGTCGCACAGCAACCGCACCTCCATCGGTTGCTGCCCTTAGTTTCCCGGATACGGGCTAGGATACCGGCCCCGCGTTGGGCCAGAGTACTGCCGGGGGTGCGGTGACATGCGGCGGCTGGGCGACGGCGAACGGGAAGGACTTCGTGGTGTCCATTGAGTTCCTGCCAGGTAGTAGGCGATGTCACGTGGCCGATCTCCTGGCTGCGGACGCGGTGCATGGACGGCGAAGCCACGCAGTCCCATCTGTCAGTACTGGCAACGGCGGTATGTGTGCCCGGCCTCGCCGCAGTGGTAGCAGAGCGGGTGGTTGTCAGGTGCACGCCAAACGTTCGTTTTCCTCGGTGCACTGCGCTGGCCCGCTGGGGAACGGTAGGACGTCGGTTGGGGTAGTGGCGGCGGTGGCGTCTGGCAACGGAAGTGTGACGGGGTGGCGTTTTGGCGAGGACGGGGAGGAGTGTTGTGGCGCACAGCAGCGGCGTAGCTCATAGTTTCTGGCTCGGGCGGCGGTGTTTCGGGAATTCGAAGCGATTGCCGGACTTCTTCTCGCACAATGTCGGCGATCGAATCCACTTGAGGCTGCGCCGAAGGCAACAGTTTGCGCAGCTCTTCCCGCACGATCGCTTGGATCGTTTCACGCAGGTCGTCGGAGTCACTGGCTTGAACAGCAGCGCATTCTGGAGTCAGGCGACGATTATACTGTCTGGTGCGCATGTCCAGCGTTTTTTC